ATTGACGCTTGTGTGTGTTTGTGTTTGGTTGCAAGGGGAATGGTTGCGCCTCGATGTTGGCGCACCCCAGTATAACTTTCTCACTACATTTCTTGCTGTGGAGGTAGCGGTAAAGGGGCGTTTATTTGAAAGTTCACCCAACGTTACCCCCGCTTCTTCAGCCCAGACTCTGTGATAGATGACCGGCTCATGCCCATCTGCTGACCGCAAAAATTAACAGTTTTCCCATTTCGCTTTTACCATTTTATTTTTAGGGAAAAGAAGGCCGTAGTTCATTCTGCGTCTGCGTCTGTGTGGGTAAGGTGAATAACTCTCTGCTTACATTGAGTATGCAGGAGTGTCGGCGTCCGTTGGTGGTCCTTGTGGTAGGAATGGCGGGGACTGGGAAGACGACGCTGGTGCACCGAATGCAACACTACGTGATGGAGCAAAACAAACAGGCCTATTTTATGAATTTGGATCCTGCTGTTGCAGAGGTTCCGTACAACGCGAATATTGACATTCGCGACACGGTCAACTACAAGGAAGTGATGAAGCAGTACCGCTTGGGACCTAACGGGGCCATCATGACAGCGTTGAACCTCTTTGCCACCAAGTTCCATCAAGTGATCAGCATCCTTGAAAAGAAAGAGAATTTAGAATGGATTGTGGTTGACACACCTGGGCAGATTGAAGTGTTCACGTGGTCGGCTTCGGGGCAGATCATTGCCGAGTCGCTCGCGGCGTCGTGGCCAACTGTCTTGCTGTTTGTCGCGGACGTCACGCGCTGCGCTAGTCCACAAACGTTCATGAGCACCATGCTTTACTCGAGTAGCATCATGTTGAAACAGCAGCTTCCCTTGCTCCTAGTCTTCAATAAAACCGATATCGTCTCTTCGGATGGGGCTGTTGGTTGGATGAAGGACCCCGATGCGCTGGCGGAGGCGGTCAACAGCGGCGGCGAAGACAACTACGCCGGAAGCCTCGTACAATCCCTGTCGTTGTTTGCCCACGGTTTTTATGAGGACATCCCTGTTGCGAGCGTTTCCGCGGCATCCGGCAGAGGCATGGAAGAGCTAGAGCGGGCCCTGGCTGCAGCGAAGCTCCAGTACCTCTCCGATCGGGAGCCGGAGTTGAAAAAGCGGGAGAAACTGCGAAACGAGGAGTCTGCCGCGGGCCTGGAGGAGATGCTCCGCGCCTA